TAAAGCAGTTTATTCGATTATTTGTTGTAAAAAAAAAAAAGAATTAGAAGACAAGACAACAGCTAGCTTCCTTTATCAAATTCAAAAGAATAAATGAATGAATAAATAAATTCAATTCCTATAAGCTCAGAGCAGAGAAAACTGCAAAAATAAACCAAAAAAAAAGTCTAATACAACATCGGTACAGAGAAAATGGGTGTCAAACCAAGGAGAAACAGTCAAGAATTTCTAGCCGCACTTAATTGGTTGATGATAACTCCATCCAAAAAATTCCTTATTTAAAGCTTTCATAATGCGTATTTTGGAAAAGCATTTGACGACAAATATCTGGTATTTTGAACGGAAAAAAAATGTAGTCTTCAAATTTATTCAAAATGTAACATTTCGTAACTCGTAAACGGCAATTCACAAATAATGTTCAAACTGATAAGATAAAAAGAGATAAGAATATGAAAGACAAAAAAAGGCATTTTTTAAAAAGTGATAAGAAAACCTAAACAATTTACTTCATTAAAACCAATAAAAATAAAAATTACAGTGTTTACTTGAAACCGTGCACAAAGTTCCAGCTACTGACAAAATTAATAAACCGCATTGTGAAGTTTTAGCTCCATAATTGCAATAAAGAAAAAAGGCTTTCATTTATCCTTTCAAATTTGAATTCCTAAGTTGTAAAAAATAGAATAAAATAAAATAAAAATATAAAATAAAATAAAACAAAGATAAAATAAAATAAAATGAATAAATGATTAATGCCATATTACTTAAAACCAAATGTTGCTACTACAATTTTTTGATTATCTTATGTACTTAACAAAAACCCACTACGTCGGATGTCGAATTTTTATTGACAGATGCAATCACAAATTTCAACGTAAGCAACAGATTATTGACTTAAATTAAGTCAGCGATTGAAGCGTTTTAATTGGAAGTCTTTTTAAGTCTGTGCAGCTTTCTGAGATTGAAAAAAGACAAAAAAATTTTTCTTTTCAAAAAAGCAAACTATTTTTTTGGCCCCTGTGCTTATGTTCAATTGAAACGTCTGTAAGAAATCATTAAATGACTTACTTTAAGGATTCATCTGATGGCGTTTTTGGAAGTTGTTGCCGGACATCAGAGTTCTGGCCTAATACTGACAAAGTAGAAACTGAAGATGAAAGATGCTTAGAAGCTGACGAAACTCCAGATGACGTAGACGACCCTCCGCCTGAAAATTTATGGTTGAAAACTCTGCTCAACAAAATTTTGCCAAAAACTTTGTTCAAAAAGTCACACTATAAATAAGCGCATTAAAAACCAGTAAATAAAAGAAAAATAAAAAAGGCAGAAAACTTGACAAAAAAAAAA